CATAATCTTAGACTCAAACCGATTTTCGACCATTTGGGCGGTTTTGTCTTTGTAATATCCGTATCCAGCATTTTGAAATAAAATTTTTTAATAATAATAAATTTATTTTATGCCAATTTAACAAGGAAAAACCTCTAAAATGCTTTAATTTCGAACGGATCTGGATTACAGCACACAACAGGCGCATGCGTGACTTTTTCCCGCTCATTTTTCAATTAATGCTCGTTTATTGATGTTAAAATTTATATATTTATAATAATAAATGTATTATTATTTTTATTTTCTTATTATATTTTATATATTTATTATTTCGTAAGAATTTCTGAGTTGTTCATGCAATTATAGTTCAGCGAGGAAAAGCTCATTTACGCTCCCGAAACAATCAAACTGGATGAGAACAACACTTTGAGCCCAACAATAATTAATTAACTCAGACACCCATTCTAGAGAAGAGATTGACTTCATTATCCCGGAATCACTCTTTACAACATACAAATAATAAATAAAGTCAACAAATAAGCAATAAAATCTCAACAGACTACAAAGGAGAAGAATTCAGGAGGACATCAGATACAAGGACCAAGACAATTGAAGGAACTGGATGCATTTTCTGTATAAGCCTAAAATAAGAGTAATAGGTCTTTAATCAGAGTAATCTTTCAAGCTGAAATACATCAATCCTTGTGCCTTAGAAAATCTCGAAAGTTAAACAAGCAATAAATGATCATAAGATCAGATATACGAGCAGCTATTAAAGCATTAGCATGTAAAAAAATATTCACTGGATGCCGCCAAAATCGCCAAAATCTCCAAAACCTAGGAAACACGTGGCGGTATCTTGGGTACCAGGACACAAGGGAATCTTGTAATGAAAAAGCAGACACTGGCCAGGGGAGGATCTGCAAGACTAATGTATAGGCCCAGAACACACTCTTGGGATTAAAAAAATGGATCTAAAAAAGGTGAAGCGGTTAAACTCTAATGGCACTAGACACACTGAACCTTGGAAGCACAACAACCTGGTGGTATCTTGTTGTATTGGTAGCTGGGCATAAAGGAATCTTGAGTAATGAAAAAGCATACACAATGGCCAGGGGAGGATCTGCATGACTAATATATAGGCCCAAAATCTATTCTTGGGATTTAAAAAACAATGGATCTGAAAAAGGTGACGTGGTTAAACTTTTGGGGCACTAGGCACAGTGAACCTAGGAAAGAACTATGGTGGTATCTTTGGTACCAGGACACAAGGGAATCTTGAGTAATGAAAAAGCAGACACAATGGTCAGGGAAGGATCTGCAAGACTAACATATAGGCCCAGAACCTATTCTTGGGAATAAAAAAATAAATAAATAAAAAATAAATAAAAAAAAAAGGATCCAAAAAAGGTGAAGTGGTTAAACTTTAGAGGGCACTAGACAGTAAACTTACACTAAAACAACCCTCACCACAAATTGTAAACTCTCTGCTACTGTTAGAGCTAAACTCAAAGGAGTAATAGGAATGTATACTGGTCACTGACATCTGAGAAAATTTCTGCACAACATGGCCACCTTTGAATGCAAAGCAATCGTTCAATGTAGACAACCTGGGATACAAAGAATACCCAGGGCATGGAATTACAGTAACATAGTCAATGACCTAGCAGTTTTTAAGAGAAGGATCAAGTCGAAATTGTAAGAAAATATATATGTATTACATAAGAGAAATAAGTCAATTTTAGATTCCACTGGCTGCATTAAAGATTTCTGACCTGTTGTGGTAATTGCCTTACCCATAATAGCTATTGTGAGTTTTCTTCACTTTGTAGATTGGTCATTTTGGTTGAAATAATTGTTAAAAATGTAGCTACAACAGTGAATGAAACTGGTTTGTTAGAAGACGCAGATGGTTGAACCACCTATCAGTTTTCCTTCAATCCATCCATCTAAAATGGTGAACCTTTGTCACCAGTTTGTTCAGCCTTTCACCAGCCACCACATGCAGTCTCAAGGATTTCGTCAACTGAACTTGACCACACAATGTAAAAAATTCCCAATTTTTTTTCTGTTCTGCTAGAGCCACATTGAAGTATACTTTAATTAAAATAGAATGAGTTAATGGTACAAGGTTCCAAAAGAGAAATAATTATTCCCATACAAATCTTCTCAATTAATTGGGTTTTCTCTGAAGAATACCACAAATTGAATTCAGTGTCTGGGTGAAAGCGTTCTTAGTTTTTAAATTGGATGATATTTTGAAAGAGTTACGGAGAAAAAAGAACAAAACATTTTTCTTGACAGTCGTCAACTTTGTTCTGGCAATGATCAGAAGAAGAGTTATCATTTATTATAACAATAAATAAAGGGCAAAGTCGATAAATATTTTACTAGAAATGATAAATGAAAGCAATTTGTATGTGGTAAACATTCCGTGGTGCTTAAAAAATATATAAATTGTGTAGGACATTCATAACATAACAATAATAATAAACTTTATTTATCAATGATTATTCAGAGATGCTTTATTTATCAATGTATAAATAAAATTTTAAATTATAAATTAAAATTTTAAAAAAATTAATCATTAGATAATGTAAAAAAAATAGTGTAAATAAAATTATATCACATCTACACATGAAATTTTTGGTATAAAATGTAAATAAAATTTTGCATAAAAAATAAAATTTTATTTATAAATTGCCTATGTACATACTAAATAAATAATATATAAAGTAGAAGGTTTAAGGGCGGACAAACAACTGTGGTCATCGCTGGCCCTCTGCATGATTTCCTCTTTTTTTCTGTCCTTTCGTGTGTATTTTATATTAAAACTGCAACCATTCAAGCGCCTCGATCTGGTTTCTAGCTCTCTGCTTTTAGATGTGGATATCCTAAAACACTAGTCTCTCACCTGTACTCAGGTTGTCAAATACAGAAAAGAAACAAAACACACAATACCTACATATACATCATCTAAATAAATAAAGATTATAAAACAAATTTTTAAAAAAATAGTTATTGTAGTTTTCAGTTGAAAAAAAATGGGTCTAAAAAGACCCGCCAAACTGTCCATGTTATTTTTTTTACAAACAGGTGAGTGTTAATGTACGCACAGAAATGACCATACTACAGCTTCATTCTCTACAGAACTCAACAAGAAATCTCATAAAACATTTGGTATTGGCTTATATTCAAATCATCTTCTACATTATGATTTACATTGTTGTTTTAATATTATTTTGTTAAATCTTCGTATATGTTTGTCACAATAATGTATTTTGCTAGAAAAATTCTTTGAAGGTCAAACAGTAATTTTAACCTATGGTAATTTTCTGTGAAGAAATTAAGGGGAAAACCCCCAGCCCAATCTGTACAAAATCATTTTAATCTGTGGTTGTTAACATCATTATCAACAGTGTTAAAAGTTCTATAAAATAAATACAAACAAATTATATTATAATAAAGGTATAAGAGTATAATGAAACACGTTTCAGATTCAATTGGTGTTTATTCATAATAAAATTGTAAAAAGCAAGTTCTATTTATTATACATAAACATAACGTCTGTGTGTGTACTCGGTGCATACAGTCTGAACAATCTGATATGTATAATTTGCGGTTAGCTTTTTCGCCTCTTCCTCCTCGTGACACACAAACTTTACATATAAATCAAATAAACTGTCCCAAATAAAATGGCTATTTGATTAGAAAAGAAACCAAGCCTACAAATTCTATGTGTTAATTAATCTGCCCATTAAAGGATTGGGAAAAATATCAGTCATACGATTTTTTACATTGCAATAAAATATTAAACATTCGCTTTTTTATTCATTTATTTTTTTTTTTTTTGCTTTTTATTTTTAAATATATAAATATTAAAATTACGGGGAGGGATATTGGTGTTACTCCTACGAAATTGGCCTTTCTCTCAAAATGGCACATAAGGCAATATGAAATTTAAAAATTAACTCATTTTAATCTTGATTTTTCCTTTCAAATAATGGATGTGTTATTTTATCTACAATTCAAATTCATTACGTTAACATAATCTCTTTAATTTTTTTCTTAATTATAATAAACTGATAAAATAATTAGCGATAACATGATGCAAAACGGAAAATAAAACAATAGAAACAAAAAAACATCAGTTTGTATAAATTGGAAAAATTATTTTTTGTCTAAAGTCAAGCCAAGTATATGTCGTGAAAAATAAAACTCAATGTCATATGTATATCTTTATAAATGCTTCAATTTCTGAAAAATCTCATTTTAAAAAAATGTTATAATAGTAAACTATATCTTAAAATTTAACATTAAAAATAAATAATTATAAATTTTAAACAAATAAAACAAGGAATATTGTGTTTTAAAGAAAAACCTGGTAAAATGGTACAAATATAAAAAGAAGAGAAAAATTAAAAATTAAATTCACCAAAAAAAAAAATTAATAAAATTCTAAATGCAATTTATTAAAATATAAAATTACGTTTTTAAGTATTTATTTCCCATTATTTTGAAATTAAACTCAAAAATAACAATTATTTGATACTATTCACAAATTATTTAATCACCAAGTTCAATTTATCCACAATATATATTTTCTTAGTTATTAAAACATTCCTCTGAGTTTAAAAACTTCTTAATGAAGCATATTTCATCATTTAATATATTAACTTTAATATAACAATATTTGTCTGCCCAAAGAAAATATGAAAATCGACAATCCCGAACGACGGGCCTCGTCAATTTTGATGTCGTCTTTAACAAATAGAAGGGATTCTTTCATATAAAAACTGTATACTATGTACATGAAAAGGAGCACCTGAGAGCATGGCACTGAAATCGAGTGGTACGACTTTTCTACTATCCTAACTTTTTAATTTTGATTGCTAGGAAGACGACGTTCTATTTAAACCTGTCAGTTCCAATTATGATGATATCTAAAAACCGCCCACTTAAACAATTTGCCAAGTGGTTTAGAAAAAAAGAAGAATAACTGGAACGAAATTGAAAATCCAAAATCTAGAAACGCAACGCTAAGTCTTTGACCGCACACCTTCCGAGGGTTTTTGGATGCTTACTCTGATAAAGTAGGTGAACTAAGATATTTTAAACATCAGTCACACAAATCCACTTAAGCAACACTCATGCTCTTTTCTTTATATAATAAATGTAAACTTTAAAAAAAAAATATTCAATCTGCTATGGGAGAATAATTAAAATTGTACAAATTAATTTAAAACGCTTAAGCATTAATAATAAATTGTAATCTCAATAATTGCTTGTAAATAAAATCCAAGTAGTTTAAAATTCTGAACAACATAATTCATTTTTTTTTTATGAAACTTTGAATAATTAATTAATTCCCATTTATAATAACTTATAATTCTGTTTTAAAGCATTCTTTGACAAGTATTGCTTATGTTGGTAACTTATCAAGTCACCTGAAATGGTAAGGTAGACAAAATACTCATATCAAAAATAAAATTGGCAACACAAGATTCCCCGTTCTGTTCAATCTAAGATTGTCCATATTTACATATACACCCTTGTAGAAAAGTGTACCGATAACTTCAGTCTTATTTTGAATAGGCCTCCTGTAAAATGAAATGTCCAAATTGCAGTAACCATGCAGAACTAAATTTTTCGCCTTGATACAGAAATCGTTTTAAAGATCCGCTGCTTCAAGTGAGTCAGAAGGGGGGGGGGAATATGCCGAGGTTTCTTAGGTGCTCGCTCATCATGCCTCTCACAGTCCATTGCCTCTCTCATTTGCTCCTCCTATACGTTTGTACTGCGATGTTCAACCGCCCTGAAATCAATTATTTACATTATAACAATATTAGGCATAAACCATCATCATATATAATCTACCTCCATGGTACAATAGTTAAAATTTTATTCTGCATAGTTTTGCATATTAGAAACTTTTTTTTACTTAAAGACAAAGAAAAAGAAATTAGGCAACTAAGAACATGACAGGGAAAAAACAAAAGGCCAAGAGTGAATCACACACTGTAGATAAAGAAAAGCCGAAACCATCTGAACCAACAAAAGAATAGACAGAACAAGATGATAGGTAACTAGCAAACAAAGCGTTTTTCAACCCAAAGACTACAAGAATAAGAGGACAAGAGCCTAAAATTTTGTTAAGGATTTCAGTTTACTTTTAAAGTTAACTGTTTGTTTAAGCATACTGACAATAAAACATAAAAACCGCACCTAGAAGCAAGGACTGAAATAATTAGCATCTTATTTAAGTCTTATTTCTCCGTACAATTTTTGTCTTTATCTTTATTTCTAAAATAACAGTTTGGATTTTTTCTTTCATCACAAAACAGAAATTAGTAAAATGATGCAGGAATTACAAATTTAAAAGAAAAAACCTTGACAAAAATACCAGATTAACTGTATTGAGGAAAATTAATTAAATCTTTTATGAAAACAATAAAGTTGTTATACATATCAACTTTCAAAAAAGTTTTCAAAAAGACAAATATTGTTGAACGATTAATGCTGTAGTTTCACAGATGCATCTCATTGTCAATTTTAATTCAGATCACGAACTTGATTAAGTTAGTTATTTATTTTTGTATTTTAATTACAGTTTTTGTGTGATGGACACTTTTCTGTCCTATTACTTTTCAAATTAGACCGGGCTATTTAGTAGCACTGTAGCTATGAGTGCAATGACAACTACAGTCTTGAAGGTGTTGTTGAACCTTTCACCACTACATTTCAACGGCTCACATGCTTATCAATGGACAACCATCTGCAAGGATAGGCCATGTCAACAAACAATACAAGAAGAATGGAGTAACGGGCAGATGCCATTCTGCATTACCAATCGATGCTCCTACTCCTAATAAACTTCACCAACAAGTAAAAATTCTTAGTGGGCCAAAGGAATATCTCTGATGGCCAATTCCTACTGGTATATTGATGGCTCAAAAATGGACAGAGGCATGGGAGCTAGAGTTCTCAGGATAAATCCAAAGAACAACTGACTTAGGTAAATAAGCTACAGTTTTCCAGTCTGAAATCATAGCAATTCAAGCACCAGAGAAATAAAAGGACTAAAAACACATTCCAGGAAGATTATTTTCTCTGACAGTAGGCAGCATTTAAGGCCTTGGCTTCATGCAAGCTAAAGGCAAAAAGTGTATGGAATCCTTGTCGGATGTCAGCGACACCAATGACCTGACCCTGGCATGTGGTTCCCTGGACATTCGGGACCTAGAGACAATGAGAAAGTGGACATGTTGACCAAAAAATGGATTGTTAATAAGTACAAAATCCTCTGGAGCAACACCCCTGTCGTGAAACTCGTGGAGAGATGCTTAGAACACTTACAAAGGAATTACTGAAAGGTAACCGTAACAGAACCAAGATTCTGGTTGGACCCCTGACAGGGCACTATCGCCTGACAAGACACAAACACCATATAGGAGTACAGACAAAAAAAAAAAAAAAAAAAAAAAAAAAAAAAAAAAAAAACAACTTTTAAATGTAGTTACTTGCAACAAGGAGAAGAAAAGTCGCAAGCAAGATCCTACACTAAGCAGGATGTTAATACCTGGCAAGGTTTTAAAGATTGATTAACAACTTTAGCTGACCAGTGAGTTATAAAAAATAGAGGAGCACAACAAATCTACTCACATTGAGGTCCAGAAATCCCTATCCCTATCCTTTCAAAAAATAAATAAATAAAGTTTTGCTAAAAAAAATGGTTAATTATTAGTCAGGTAATGTTTCTGACATTCATGCTGTGTATTTTAATATTTTTAGTGCAAATTATGATATATTTGAGTTTTTATTAGTGTATATTATATGACATATTGGAGGATTTTTATTGCATATATATATTTGTAATATCTATTTTGATATGTACAAACTACAAATAAATTATTTATGAAAAAATGTACATCTTTGCAGACATGTATTCAACATTAATTCCCAGCAACTATTATAGAAAATAGGAATTGTCCTGATGAAAACAAGAAAAGTTCAAGGTCAACACTATTAAGTTATTCTCAGAAACGGGAAAACAATTCAATAAACGCAACAAGCTAAAAACAGCAGCCGTGAAATTCACACCTAATTCACTAAGTAATTTGTCTTCTTTCTTATAAAAAATCTTTTAAACAACATGCAGATTATAATCTTAAGCCAGTTTTTAATAAGACCTTGTGTAATATTGTAGTAAAAGACACTATTAATTTTAAAAACCTAACTGAAACCACTTTTTTTTTTAATTCTCCTTTCTTACCTGTACTAACAGTGGTAAGGTGTGATATATGTGGCAGGGAAGAGGCCTCTTCGGGGCCCAATTTCTCCATGCCACCAGTGTTGGTCCGACCGATCTGTCACTGTTATGACGTCGCCTCGTCTGAAACCAAGTTCACCAGCCTCTTGCGGTGTGAAATCGTATAATGCTTGTACCAGGCACTGCAAATAATAAAAATAAATTTGCTTAAAACCTAACTGAATAATAAATGTTTATAGTTGAATCGACCGAAAATAAGAACCAGTAGCTTGATCGTCTCAACTCTCCCGTCTTGAGTTGATTTTGTGTCATTTCTCCATTTTTAATGCCAACCGAACAAACGTGCATGCACGCCCAAATCAGACAATCAAGCTACAAGTTCATCACCTCGCAAGCCTCAACAAAATATTTCATAATGATGAAGCTAATCCAGATATGAAGAAATTAGCAGTCAAAGTTTAATTTTAGGGTTTAAATAACTCCACAATATCAAAGAAACAATATTTCAATATTTTTGCCATATTCATTTGAAAAATATGAAATTCAATATACATTCTGTATTTTCCTTAGCGTAGGTCTTTAAACACCACTACAGATAACATTTTCTAAGCTTCACTACATATTATTCCATAAATTTACATAAGCGTTTTCAGTTTTGATTCAATGTCAAACTACATGGCTACTCCATCCAATTTTTCTCCAAATTCCCAACTGTTGATTAGCAATTTTCATTATAAAAATATTTTTCACACAAAATTAAACAGTATGACAGGAAATACACATCTGTGGGAAGGTGAAGAATTGAAAATGTCGTCTTTTTTTTTAATTAATTAGTTTTTACAGGATTCCAGATAAATAAATTTGCTACTCGCTTTTCATTTACAGAGAAATATGCACATTTTACCTTTTGGTAATTGAGCTCCCTTTGTAGTCATGCAACCCCCTCCACCTGAATGTCATCTTTTCCCTAACAGATCAAATTAACAACAACCAGATTAAATAAAAACAATGTTCCGCTACAAGCGCGTTAATCTAATTTTAATTCCTTTGACCCACTACTGGCTACAAGGGGAAAAAATTCTTTTTTCATTCATTAACTGGATTAACATAGCAAAGGACTGCAATATGGGCCTCAAATCAAATATATTTGCTCTATAAAATTCACGCTAAGAAGAATAATTTGAAACGTCCATTTTTACCTGAGACAAAGAAGCTTTAAAGGCAATGAGCAAATTAATAAATATGTAATAGGTTAAGATATAATTACTACACTACTTCCAGTTTTATATTTTTCTATTATAAAATTATTTTTTAGGGAGGGGGGGGTTTGTTGTGATGCCATTTTTTGCAAAATCCAATAAAAAATAATTATTACTGTCGTTTGTTGAAAATATTAAAAAAAATCACTTCTTTGTCAGAGATAGAAGAGACATGGTTGACGATAAGAAGTCTGAGGACCTGGGCAGATCACCTGTTGTAATAGTTACGGGAGAATGTTTTTTAATCAGAAATGGGACTGCTTTTTCCCTAATGGCTTACATCCCACAAAATTGTATATTAACAATTTTTTTGCAATAAAGCCCACAAGAAATTTAAGCTGATTTGGGTTAATTATTAATAAAATAAATAAATTTATTAAATAAATGAAAAACTATTAAAACAAAAAACGTTTTATTTTAAAACATAAAAAATTATTGTTATAATATAAATAACTATCCCAAAACTTATTAAGATATAATTTTAGTTAAAATAATTTATTTACAATAAATAAAATTATAAAATAATACAGTTGTTAAAACATTTAATTAATAAACCTCTCTTTTATGGTATAAAGATTTTTTTTTTATCTTAAACAACGTAAATAAACTCTTGTCTTCTGTACATTTCTTATCATGCTAGAATTACTTTAACCGTTCAAATGTAATCCGTAACGAGCAAAGGTGATAAAGCCGCTGGCCTGTCAGTAATATTTGGCCCAGTTTAACTCATAAACAAAAGACCAAAAGTCTCGATTCTCGCACTCGACATTTGGAACATCAACAATTTTTTGAATAAAGATCATTGTGTTTCTAAAACAATTAAGATTAATTTAAAGCAGATAAGAACTGAGCTCCCTTTATTCAAATCCAAACAAAACCATTAGCATAGAATAGAGATTTGTCACAGCTTGTCCGAAGAATGTCAGTTGTTATTCTTAACTTAACTAATGACCCAAATAATTAAAATAAATTTTAAAAAAATACAATTGTGAATAAATGTGCAAATTCAGGAATAAACTGTTATTGTGTGTGTTTGTGGTAAAATTATGATAATAATGTATTCAATTATAAACATAAATACAGTGAAATAATTAAAAATAATAAGACTGATGAAATAATAAGAATTAGAATTAGTAGAATACATTCAGGAAAAAAATTCAGATAACGACAAGAGAGATTAGTCACAAACTGGTATTTCCTAGTCCAAGGGGAGTATATTTTTTTATCTTTTATTTTTAATGTGATTCACTCAGCCATAAGCTCTCACAAAAAATAATAATCTTTTGAAATTCCTACCCAAGAATAAAAAATAATATTTAAATCTGGTTATATAATTCACCTGATGACATTTTACACTCAAAACAAAAAAATCAAGAGAACAAACAAAAAAACAGACAAATTACTTTTTCAACTGACCTCTTCAGGGACCATGTCCCTTAATTTAACATCCTGCGATCTCGACACCGAAGCCGTTCTGTGATATTCTACTAATTCATTCAAACTATTAAACTTAACAACCCATAAGAAAAATTTCCCTTGTGAATCCCTAAGAACTTTAAAGTGCTGAACTCCGTCAGAACATCTGAAAATGAAAATATAAAAAAAAATTAGACAAAATAAAAACTATTGTGAATATATATTCAGAAAAAAAAATACATACTTTACAGATAGAGAAAAGTCACCAGGGGAGCTTTCGCTAACTCTTATTAAAAATGCTCCTTCGTGTTTATTTAACAGTAGCTTTTCGGAATCTGCCCTTGTAATTTTGCCATAATACCAGCTGGAAAAAATCATTGATTTTGCATGTTGATAAAGCAATTTCAGGATGAAAAGAGACCCGGATATGCAACCTTCAATTAACCATTAAACAAAAAGGAAATGCAATTCAATTAATTTGCATCAAGGAAACATTTCAATTTAATTCCTTAGTTATTTTAAAGAAACACTTTTCAGACCTACCTGGACAAAAATTAGTTATGTAATATTAAATAATATTTTAAAAAAAGCATTGTAACAATAGAGTTAAGTCTGGAGAATCAAACCATGACATTTAATCAAAGCTGTTTACAGCAATTAAGTGAGATTTATATTTGAGCAGGCCTTGTGCTACTCGAGGATAAACCATTCAATGAAAACCAACTGACAATAGCATTGTAACTGATTTTTTTAATTGTCATCTTTATTCTACCTTGTACCAATTAACAAGCCAAAATAAAAGGTTCTGTTAATTAAAAAATTTACATAGTTTATAACAAGAAAAATAATTTAAGGACTAAAAGAAAATAAGTTTTTTTATCAAACCTGAAAATCAAAGTTGTACCTAAATTGTACTTTGTACCTTCTATAATAATTTTTAAGATCCATTAAACTGTACTTTCTAATTATATATTCAACCAACAATTAATAAAATAAATATTTGAAGAATTAGAAGCACATAAGGCAAATGTAAAATGCATATTATAATGGTACAATATAATGAATACAATTAATTATACTTTTTATTTAAGGTTTTGCTTGAGATGAAAAAGTTAGTGTCATGAGCAGGATTCGAACCAAAGACAGGCTAATAACTGCTGCTCTAACCACTTGAGCTATCGCGATTTTGATCTACCTGGACACTCGTCATCTAAATCTACAATGGGTGGGTTCGAATCCCACTGTGACACTAATTTTTTCATCTCAACCAAGACTGTTAAACATATATGGATTAATACAATTAGTTATAGTTTTGCCTAAAGTCTTGGTTGAGGTGAAAAAGTGTCACAAGCAGGATTAGAACCCACGACCTTCGGCTCAATACGCCACTGCTATAATCACTTGAGTGATAGTGATATAAATCCACTCATCTCATCTTAATCTACCAACTTTTTCCTTCTGTTTGCTATATTCTCAAATATTGTGTAATAAGGATTCGATTCTCAGTGACTTATGATGGGGAACTATTAGCAAAGGAATAGTAGTAATAAGTAGCAAAGCTTCTTTTTAATTATTATATTAATTCTTATATAGTTTAGCAGTCATAATTGTGCCATTTAATTATTTCAATTAATTACTTTTTTATCAAAAGTCTTGGTAGAGATGAGGAGTTGGTGTCGGAATGGATCGAAGTCACGATAGTTCAAGAGGTTATAGTAGTGGTGTATTGACCCAAAGATCGTGGGTTAGAATCCTGCTAGTGTCACTAACTTTGTCGTCTCAACCAAGACTTTAGATAAAAGGTATAATTAATTCAAATAATTAAATAGGTCAATTATAACCACTAAATATATAAGGATTAGTAACGAATCTATTTTCCAGACAATTATAAATATTTGACTTAATTGGCGTGATTTACATTCGGATTAAAATCGGCAATCTTCAAGCGATTTAGCTGAGATTGACAACAGTCCTTTCACAAGGCTAACTGCTTCTCAGAAAAGAGAAAGTACTTTTTACAAACAATTATCAAAGCCTGAGCAACAAGCTGGAGGTTGTAAAATATCATTTTCATTCATACTATTTAAATTACTACATTAACGGAGGTGGACGCAATGGTTAAGGCATTGGTGACTCATCAGTACATAATGATTGTGATCATTAAAAAAGGATTATAAGACAAATTAATTTATAATGTAATTATTTACCTTCTACCCGAGTTTATTTGGATTATAAACTCGAGTATACTCATTGACAAACACCGGTTTTAACGTATTTGTCAGCCCATTCAAAATGCTGTAAAGCCAATGAGAGGCCCAATGTCCTTTCAATTGGTTCAGGCTGCTAAATTTCCTGGACCTGGCGAAATAAAGGAAATGACTCATTATTGGCAGATTAGTCACCCGGGCCCAGGTGGAACCTGAACCAAACCAATCATCTGTTAATGATTCCTGTTTGTGCGCATGTGGGAATGAATTTGTGCTAACATGCTACAACAGTCCTACTTATTAAATGTTGTAATTATTGACTGATAAGTCAACACTCAATTTTCTCTTTAAACGATTTTTGGAATTTTAAGATTGAAAAATAAACTTACTATCTCTAATTATGATTTATTTTTGTAATATGGTTTATTTAGTTAAGTCAATTTCTTTGGTGTCGGTTAATTAATAAGCTAATATTCAATTATAAAATTGAAAATCTAGTCAAAAATAAAAAACTTGATTGCTATGACTTTTCATTCATTTCAACAAACTAAACAAACAGCAATGATTTTAAACTGTAAAAAAAGATCAAAGACATTTGCTCACAGTGTGTGCATGCCTATATTTTCTCTCTTTTCTTACAAAAGAGTATTGTGAAGTGATTGCTTCAAGGATTGTTTGCTTTTAAATGGTTTGTTTTGAAAACAGGCATGTGTAAAAATCTGGGTGAACTGTGATTTTACGGAAAATCCTTTTTTTTAACTATAATCCCAATGCAACTAGACAATTTGTTTTTCTTCAAAGAAATATTAACTCTCTTTTTATGGTTTATCTAAATAAACATGCTTAAAGATAAAAGTATATAAAAGACTTTTTAGCTTGGAAAAAAAATTGATATTTGGTTAATCTATAATATTCCAGGAAAAAATTTTCCCAAAGAAAGCTCCTGTCAAACAAAATATTTTTATAAATTTAAAACAATTTTATGCTGGCAATGCTAATTAATGCCGGAGATGTTCTGAAGATTGTTTTGGCCAGAAGATAAAAATGAGAATATATTAAAGAGTACAATTGACAAAATATTCTGACAAAACAGGTTTCCCCACCTTGAACTCAATTCATTAATTCAATAGGTAAACCATCCAAGGATTTTTAATATGCCACTGGCTAAGGACTTATTTTATATGCCAACTTTCTGTCCCAATCTGTTGGTTCCTTGATGGGTTCCTTTTGTTTAAATGTAATTTAGATTGAATGAAAATGTGGATAGTGTTATCAATAATATTTCACATAAATGGTGGACAAATAACCCAAAACATTTCATGTTAAGATTTACATGTAATAATTTATTTTAAAATAGGAAGTTGGACCTTGGATGGTTAAGCCCTACTGTGTAACAGGAAATACTTTTTTTTTACTTTTTCTTCTCTGCTACCCATCATGCTCAAAGAAAAAAATCTTACTAAATGATCAAATCAAACCTTGATGTGTTAATAGTGCTGACTATGATTGCTTACACAACATATTTTTCAGCTTGTTTACTTTTTGCAATTAAATTTTTTAAAAATTTGGCCTCCAAAATTTTATCGTTTTCAATATTTCATTATAATCAATAATATTTTATAATATTGGGTTGTCCGGAAAATAATGCAGGATTTTAAGTTTTCATAAAAAAAAATCTATATAAAATATTCTGTTTACGTTTACAGGATTACTCATTTGTATGAATGTCAGCACTTATTAATCCTCTTCCAAATGATATTGTTTGTTTACCTCTGTAGCATTCCGCTACTTGGAAATAATTCAGTCATCCTTATAATGTCAAAGCGAGAATTTCGTACGATTTTCTTTTACGAGTTTAAACTCGGCCGAAGCGGAGCCCAAACGGCTAGAAACATTAACCAAGTCTGGGGCGAGGGTTGTGTTAATGAGTGCACTGTGCAAAGGTGGTTTAAAAAATTTCGGGAGGGAGATTTCAGCCTTGAAGATGAAGAAGGTCGTGGAAGGCCTTCCTCTCTTAATGATGATGTTCTGCGATCAGTGGTGGAAGAAAACCCCAAAACAACTGTTCGAGAACTTGCAGAGCAACTCAAAGTCAGTAAAACGACCGTCGCTGACCACCTCAAGGCGATTGGAAAAGTGAAAAAACTCGAAAATTGGGTTCCACACTCATTAAACGATCGCCAAAAAAATCAGCGCTTTGATGTTTGTGCATCACTTCTTTGTCGAAACAAAAATGACCCATTTCTGGCCAGAATTGTTACATGTGACGAAAAGTGGATTCTCTACGATAACACTAGACGTTCTGGACAGTGGCTCGACAAAGGAGAAGCTCCAATACATTTTCCAAAGCCCCCAACTCATCAAAAAAAGGTAATGGTTACGGTATGGTGGGCTTCATTTGGTTTAATACACTACAGCTTCTTAAATCCTGGCGAAACCATCAATGCTGAATCATACTGTAACCAAATTAATACCATGCATCAGAAATTGGCAGTAATGAAGCCCTCTTTGGTCAATCGGAAAGGGCCCATTTTGTTGCATGACAACGCTCGACCACATGTGTCACGTGTAACGTCACAAAAATTATTGGAGCTTGGCTATGAAACTTTGCCTCACCCACCCTACTCTCCGGACCTCTCGCCTACTGACTACCATTTTTTTAGACACCTGGACCACTACTTACAACACATAATATTCAAAAATCAAACGGAACTGGAAAATGCATTTATTGACTTTATCAATTCTAAAAATTCTGAATTCTACTCAGACGGAATTAATAAGTTACCAACACGTTGGGAGAAATGTATTGAGAGTATGGGAAATTATTTTGATTAAAGAACATTGCTTTAAAGTAACTAGTTTCTTTTTTTTTGTTTAATACCAAAATCCTGCATTATTTTCCGGACAACCCAATACATATATAATATTTTATAATAATAAATTTATAACTCGAAAAGTCATTGTGGACTCGACTTGTGTATATAGAAAAAAGTAAAAATTTACTGTGGGCTCCTCTTGTGCATATAGAAAAAAAGAAAAATTTACTAATCTAGCAATCTAAACAAAATTTATTTATGTACATTTTTACAAGCCAACTTACTCATTTGATTCTGTAAGAGATGTTTTAGTTTTATAAAAAAATGGATAACAGTTATCAGTAAAGTGTAAAGTTAGACAGCAGATAATAAACAGTTATTAAAAAAGAAAAAATCTCTGTTGATAATGTAAAGTTATAACTTTCAATTAATTATTCATTTTATTAAGATCTTAGTTGAGATGAAAAAGCTAGTGTCACAAGCAGGATTCGAACCCACCATCTTCGGCTCAATACACCGCTACTATAACCACCCACTTGAGCTATCGTGACTGTTGTAGGTTGAGATGGGGAGTTCGAAGTCACGATAGTTCAAGTGGTTAGAGCAGCAGTGACACTAGCTTTTTTTATCTCAACCAAAACCTTACATAAAAAGAATAATTAATTGAAAGAAGTAATTTGGCCAATTAGACCACTAAGCATAATGGATTTTTTGTAAAGTTAAATGTTTGAATAAAATTGACTTTCTATCTTCCATTCATATGTTCCATAATTTTCTAGTTGTTTTTTGGGTAGTAGAAACTTATTGAAATCACTTGTTAAGCGTATGGGTACTTCAACTGTGAAGTTACATGAACCATCGGGCACTGAAAAAACCCATTTGTATGTCGGGATTGAATTCAGGGCTGCTGAGATCTGAACCCAGAACCCTTAGAGATGAGCGCTTAACTGTTATGGCCAATGGAGCCACTATAGTTTCATTATAACAGTTATGGGCCTTAAACATTTGCAGGTGGCCAATATTTAATTATCTACTTTTTGTAAATGATGGTTGTACTCACAAGATTTATTATTTACAACAATCCGGATTTCAAATATTAAAATGTTCAAAGTTGTTGTTGTTAAAGAGTTACAAACATTTTTCTTAACATGTGAGAGGTGAGAGATTTGTGTGTAACTCTGCCTGATGATGAGCATTTATTGCTTGAAACATCATTTGAATGTCAATGTATAGCCCAAGGTAGCAGGCTACATTAGCTGGTGGGAGAGGGATAGTGAGCAGTTCTCTGAAGGGTGAAAGTGACATGTTCACATTTTTGTATGTTTATTGCCATCTTCCACCAACTGAACCACTCAAGGGATGTAACATGGGTTTGCAGGTTTCTGATTGGGATGACAGGTGTTTGTCCAGCAATATTTTAAGAACTCTGAAATATCTGTTAACCTCCATGAAAGTCATTTATTAACGTATAGCCCAAGATAGAGGACTACATTAGTTGGTGAGATAGGGTTACTATTGTTGTAAACGGGACCAGTGGTTATTCTCTGAACGATGAAAGTGGCATGTTCACATTTTTAAATAAATTTAAAAATTTACTTCTTGATTTTTTTACTGCACTATATTAATTAAAAAAATAGATTATCAATAGCAAATTGCAGAAAATAAAAGAAAGACTAAGAAAAAAGAACCTTTCTGATCGTTTCTTAGTTAGTGAAAACTTGTTTAATTCAATTGTTAAGCAATAGTTTCTTTTTTACGAGGTTATATAAATCTTCAGGGTGCCTGTGTTTTTGAAGAAAGGCCTATTTCTCGGGGCCGCTGGATTTGAACCCAGTACCTTTACTAAAGGTTGAGTTATAGTTTAAAGGCTGAACCAAAATTTAAGGAAGACGACTAGATGCTCGCTTTAAAATAAATCTATTTGTAGACTAAATAGAACTTGTAAAAAACATTATTTTATTAAATTACTTCAAATAAACCTAAGATGTGATTAATATGCAAATTGCAGGTATATTAAAGAAAAAACACCTTTTTGATCCTTTTATAGAAGACAGACAAATTTGTTTCGACAGCTTGTTAAGCAATTTTTACTCTTTTTATAACACTCCTGGGCGTTTCAGGGTGTCCAATTTGTGCTGTTAATTGTTCTCTTCTAATTACAGGTGAGCATACATCTCATCCATACGATTCTATTTATTAATTAAAACCTTTACTTATTGATTTTTTACTGCAGCTTATCAAATGAAAAATATATTATCGATAGCAAATTACTGATGTATCTAAAGAAAAAGAATTTCTGGTCCTCTCTTAGGCAGTGAAAACTTGTTTAAATCTCTTGCAATAGTTTCTCTTTTTTTTTTTTTTTTCTTTACAAGGGTATTTCAACTACAAGATTATATGAACCATCAGGGTGCTGGTGTTTTTGAAATAAGCCCATTTGTCAGTATGCAGGGTTGGAATTCAGGTCAGATTCGAACCCAGGACGCTTACCTTACAGTGATGAGCGCCATGCCGCCAATATTTTAATTGTATATTCTGATTATGTAGATGATTGTAATATTAACTAAAATGTCTTATAATTTTTAAAAAAGCTTTTTCTAACAAAGGTTATTTCAACTGCGAGGTTATATGAACCATCAGTGTGCCGGTGTTTTTGGGGAAAAAAAAAAAAAAAGCCCATTTGCAGGTATGTCGACAGATTGGAACCTGGGACCCTTACGCCTTAACCGTTGCAGCCACTAATGCCATAACAATTTTTGGCCTTTTAACATTTGAAGGTGGTCAACATTTAATATCATATTCTGATTATGTAGATTATTGCAATATTCTAAAGGCTGAACCAAAATTAAAGAAAGATTTTAAATGTCTACTTTTTTCCTTCACTTATTTTTATCTATGTATTATATACAACCAGCAGTTTGGATATAAATTTATGATTGTGGTTACAGGGGTTATAGAAAAAGCTACCCATTGGCAGTCACTCTGGATTAATAAAATGATGTTAATCATTTAAGAGTCCTGTTATCCATATTCTTTTCAGTCGTTTACGTGGTAATTGTGGGAAATGGAGTCATCTGTATTTGTATGAAAACGCCTGTAATATGTTTTGATGGATTAATTTAAAATTTTGCATTGAAAACTGTAATCTTTGAACATTGGAATATTTGTCCGATCCATAAGCTTGGCACCCGTTCATCCAAATAAGTTTGTGAGGTATGTGTATGTTGAAAGTTTGAATTTTAATGATAATTTTGATCGTTGGTTGAGTAGGTAATAAAGCATTTTAAATCGTTTGTTGAGTGTCTGTTTTTTTTTTTTTTTTAATCGTGTGAGTGGATTCCAAGTTAGTTTTCTATCAAATGTAAGTCCTAAATAGTTAACTTTATCAGAACGATTTATATGCTAGGATGTCTCACGGCGGAGAGTAAAAGTGGTATGTTATGACTTTAAGGTGTTAAACTTTATTTTCCAAATATTGCTCCATTTTTAAATATTGTATATATGGTTTTGGCAAGTAGGTTGGCAAGTACTGACTCTTGTGGTACACCTGCAAGCGCTTCTTTCCGTCAAAGATACGATTGTACATAATCAGACTCCTGGGGTAAAAATAATTTTAATTTGTAAAATAAGTCCCTCGTGCCGTACTTTGTGGAAGGCCTGAGAAACATCTAAAAACAGTCATGTACGTGCTTGAGACATTGAGCAAGAAAATCTGTAACTGTGAAGTTAATGAGTAGTGGAATGATAGGCTCAAAAGCCAAACTGTTGGTGTAAGTTGTTTGAAGTATCAATAGAGATAATTCTTTAGTAAAAGTAAACGTCTAATTTAAAATAATAAATCTAATTGTACACTATTTTTTTAAGCATTTTATTGATTTATTTCAAATCAATCTAACGTAGGAGATGATTAATGTGCAATTTGCAGATGCATACAAAGAAAAACCACCTTTCTGGTCCTTTCTTAGAAGAGGAACTTGTTAAAATAGCTTGTTAAGCATTTTTTTAACTTCTGGCCGTTTGAAGATGTTCAAGTTTTGCCTGTTAATTGTTGGATTTTGTTGATTTTTTATTATAAAACATTATTTGAAGGTTGCCGGTAGAGCAAAAAGGTGGACTGTAAATGGCTAATAAAAGAAAAAAATCTCTCTGTTGGTAGAGCGAATCTAGAACTTGAGGTAGGTCCGAAAAAATGTATCACATCTAAAAATAATCATCTGTTTCGAAAATAGTCACATTTCCAGGACGGATCTCTTTTCCAAAGTGGTCTCTCCGATTGAAAATCAAAGGGGAATTTGAACAAGTTGTTTTAAAATTTGTGACATACTCGTGGTTCTTCATCTCGATGTAGTTGCTAGGTATCAATCCTTCGTTTCCGTCCAATTCCGCCCTGTACCAATTCATATCGTCTTCCATGTTGAGAATCTGGGGAAAGGAGATGGAAAAAAAGAAAAAAAAAGAAAAGGTCCTAAGTTAAATATTGAAATGAGTTTGAAATAAGAAGTATTTGCGGATCGGATCCGGTTGAAGAGAAGTTACCTTCAAGACTTGGCTTTTCCTGAAGCTGAGCTCATCTTCGGCCGTCGCCTTGAAGTCGTGCTTGGCCGTCGCCTCCATTTCGGCAGCCGGTTCACGCGACGAGTCGTCCCTCGTAAAGAAAACTGGTGGAACACCGTTCGGGGGGAAAATACAAAATCGTTTCCACGTCCTTGACGCCGGATCGAGGTTAGGCTCACCGAGTCGGCCGAGTTCCGTGCATGTCACTCCTCGCGGTAAAACTCGGCAATCGCAGCGTCGGGCGCTTCGGGGCCGAATGAATTTCAACCACCCGCGGCCCGAAGGAGGGGGGAGACGTCGCTCGGCAGACGGCACTCGGCAGTCGTTACTCCGTGATGAGAAGAACGATTCTTTTAAGTGAATCGATTCTCTACGATTCAATCTCTGGTTGTGGTCCATTCTTTTTTCCCATTCTTCCATTCCCTCCCACTACAGTCACAAGTACTTTTTATATATTGTTCCTCCCTTCATCCAAATTTCCCACCATAATTCAAATTTTTTTTTCTCTTCTGATAACGATTATTTGGAAATCGTGAGATGTGGTCTGGTGTGACGAAGGTTTAGAAAAACATTTTCTTTATCGTGCCAACGTTTCGATCAGTATTGAGATCATCTTCTATATTTGCAATATCTCACTAGCACTCTAAAAGTGATCGACGCAGCACTCTCGATAGGTTCGGGACTGAGAACATTGAGATTGTTATTGCCAAATTGAATAAAATATTTCGGAGGACTCGGAGAATGGGATCCGGATGGGGCTAGGAGTCGGGAGTTAGGAATCAAAGGAATCGGAGAGCCCAGTCAAAAGAATCAAACTGGGAGTACGGATCGTGACGTAATCCGTCTTGTCAGTTTCCTGAACTGAACCGCAACTCACTTGAGGGAATCAATTGAGTTGACGATTCTTTGAAACGATTCTCGATTCCTTTGCCCATCGGCCATCTCTAGTCGGCACACAGTCAAAACTCGACTCGCACCCCACCCCGAGCCTATCGCCTCATTCAACGCCCCTGCGATCTACCGGCACTCGCCTCATTCACTCACTAAAACTCAACAGCCCTCTTCACCATCCTAATAATTACTAATTAAACAATTAAGACTGCTCAATTAAACTGCGACAATTAGAAAAAACACACTTCAGTCCATTAGTTTTTTTTTAATCCATTTAGACTTAGAATTCTACTAAAACACCCAACTAAAAAAAAACCCCGACTGCATCTCACGATACCTGAATAACTAAAAAAAAAATTACAATTTTTCAGTCCCTTGTGTTAAGAATGGGCTAATCTGCTTGTGCACAAATGGATCTAGAATGCAAGAAGGTACTGGGGCAGGGGTATTTGGTCATGGAATCAAGTACTCAGAAGTCAGAACCCAAGAAAGCATCTTCCTGGGTGAAGTCCATGCAATTGAGAGAGTACCCAGTTCAATCTGAACACTGTACAAAAACAAGAATATAGCTACCATGTCAGCACAAAGCACTAAATCATATCAACAGCTCAAAGATGGTGCTGAATTGCAAAACTAAACTAATAGATTGTTATACGATTGGAGAATTTGTCAGGCTGACAGCCTGAGAAATAACAACTCAGTTCATGACTTTTATTATTGGCTACGTTTCGGACTAGTAAGTGGCTGTACAAGATTTTATCGAATAATGGATAGAAATTGTTATTTGTATTTTGTCTTTCTAGAATGTTTTGCCTGATGAAGGGCTAAAAAAAGTGTGAAACATCGCCAATAATTTTGGAAAAGTCATAGACTGGTGAGTTGTTCGTTCTCTGGCTGCCACCCTGACAAATTCTCCAATCATGTATCCGCCATCCGGCCGACAAGAAAACCAACTAAATAGATTGGGTTTGCAAAAAAAAGTTACTCTCTGTTGGGACCCAGTACTTGTACGAGTTGAGGGAAATGAGAGAGCAGACATCTGCCTCAAGAACATGAGAGGGAAATAACGTTATTTTTTAAGAATTTATTTCATGTATAATTAATTCCAAAATTAGCAATACTAAGTTTTACTTTTGAATTAAGTTTAAAATTCAATTAGAAGAATGTGTGTCACATCAAGTTATTTATTAACAACTACATTCTCACAATTGATTTTCAATTTTTTTCTAATTTTAGCTTTCTTCTGACAACAAAAACAAATTTGAAGTAGTTTGCTATAAATTAAATCATTACTTGTTGAAAAATATAATTTTTATTGCCACACCTGGTCGTCCGTATGAGAGGACTCCTTCCACCCACAGGCCACCTTCTACTACGAAATAGTAAATATTTTTAATAAAAAGGGAAAAGAGCAAAGGGCTTAACAGGTACCCACGATTAAGACCCGCCTGGCATTCAGAATAATCCATAGTTCTACCAGGACACTAAGTAACTGATCATGTATTGATATATTAGGCTTGAAAATTTGAATACATTTAGCTGAGATTCCTAAACATCAAAAAGAAAATAGTGATCATGTTTTAATAAATAAATTAAATAAACAAACATATTTTCAAAACTTTAAAATTACTTTATTGATTTTAATAATACAAAATTTAAATCTTTAAGTTTTTATCAAATTTATGGTCATTTTATATCAATTATTTAACATGTAAATTTTAGTAAATTAAAAAGTTTTTTTATTGGTCTAAAAAATTATATTTTATTACAAAGATGATATAACCCCACAGTTATTAAAAATAAGCTAAATTATAGAAATGAAATGGTATAATTATGAACATACAAATTAAATGATTATTGTCATTAGTCTTGTACGCATTTTCCATCAATGCACCTCAAGTTGTGCGCACAGTGGTATGAGGTTTCCAATGGCGGGCCCAACACAGAATGTAACAATACTGAGCAATCACCTCCTTCTTCTGAAAACAAAATTACACTACTATTTATCAGTACATTTATACACGCATAAACACACATTCCTAGAGAGGAAAAAGGAATAGATGCTTCATTTTTCTCCCAAATTTAAAATGATTGTATATAAATCAAAGTTCCAAAGAAAGAAAAGATATAAAACATATTAAACCTACAGGGTGTTACAGGGTTAAATTTCAATACTGCCATAGTGGATTCATTAAATAAAACATAGTTCAATGCCACCAGAAGAAGGTTTCTATCTTGACTCTTTTTTTGAGACATTAACGTTTTTGTGATTTAATGGATTTGATTTTTGTTACCAACTAATAAATGTTTTTATTAAAAATATAACATGTACGATGTTCTTGGGGGTGCTGCTCTCCTTGGGATCAATATCACGTTTTTCAACCTTGCAAAGGAGATTTTAGTAAGAAAAATTTTAAAAAATGTAAAAGTACGTCCTTTTAATACTTATAAATTAAGGCAACTTTGGTGAAATCCCTGAAATTTTTGAAGGAAAAATCACTGCATGAGCCACAATCGAGTATAAAAAAAATGTTATTCTTTGAGTGGCTACTATTTATTCGGAAACGTGAATTTTTCAACTAAAATGTTATCTTGTGGAAAATTTAATGTAATTTGTGAAATAAAGGTCAGATTTGTATTTTAATAATGCTAAAGTTGAGAAATTATGATTTTATGGAAAAAAATATGATTTTAGACTAAGATTACAAAAATGTTAATATATTAGGAAAGAGGCAAGGTAGAAACTCGTTCTGGTGACACTGAACTGTTTTATTTAGTGAATCCATTTTATATAATAAAATCAAAATTATATAATTTAAACAATAATATTTTGAGATAAGAAGTTTTGGTGAATCAAATTTTACCATTTCCTTTTTTTTTTTGTAGAAAGAAAATTTGAAGGATTTCAATTATAATTTAGCCATCATCTTAACATTCTTAAAATTAATAATAAACCCAGATTAAAATGTTTAATTCTAAAAGTTTGTACTGATATAAAAGTCAATGTACTTGTCACTTTATCAAACCTGATCATCTAGGTCTGCCTTCAGTTGATGCCCAATAGGCCTGAGAAAGTTTGCAACTTGCTGATATATTTCTGACAGATAAAACTACCTAGAATAGAAGATCAGGATGATCGGAGATGATCAAATTACAATTTTTTAATAAGTTTGCAAATACAATCTGATCATAATCTGCTTTGAATGCAATTATAATGAGGGGTAGTGTAGAAAAACAGAAACTGAAGTCCAACAAGCGAGATCAAGTAAAGGACTTCATTAGGCATTCCACCACATTCGCTTAAACAAATGAAATATCAAAGTAAAGATCGTCGACTGCAGACAAGAGATGTCCAACCTTTTAACCGTGGTGTACCCTCAGAAGCACTCCTCCCCCGCAGATAATACCAGGTTCACACCACCCCTCATTTGGGTGTTAGTTTATTAAATTTTGGGTAACAGATCAATCAGACTTTGACCCAACTAGCAGAAATATGACATATACACCTCTTGAGATCAAATCGAAGACATTCACTTTGTATGTGCTTGACCGTTTAGCAGTTCCTGACAGCTTTGGATCAGAGGAGGTGCCGCCAATTTATTTATTTACTTATTGAGCCACCCATCTGTGGAAACCGTAGGTGCTTGGTCTAATATATCAGAGGGATGTGGATAAAAACCATTTACATTATTTAAAGTGCAATGGATAAGCCCATATGACTCCCGTTGTCCGGGGCTCATAGCACAAGACACATATGTCCTTTTCTTAGGCATTCGTTATTTTATTTTTATGATTAATTAAACAGTTGTAATTTCAATTTATTTTTTAATTCACAGGTAATCTAAATAAATAAATTAGATTTGCTACAAAACAAATTACATTTGAATATTTACAAATTACCTTTTAAGTTTTACAACTGTAATAATACGTATTAATAATAATAAAACTTTATTAAAACATTTTTTTATGAGGGTATTTCAACAACAAGGTTATATGAACCCTCGAGGTGCTGGTGTTTTTGAAAAAAAAAAAAAAGCCCATTTGTAACTGTGTTGCGTTCGGATGCAGGGCTGCTTAATTTGAGCCCGAGACCTTTACACTCTTCATGATAAACAGTACTTATTTTAGATGGGAGCAGTGATAATTAAAAACCTTATAAAGACAAGTTCTGAAGTACATAAGAACTGACGAGAATGTTTTTGGGATGTGATATCCACCCGTTTGAACCAAAAGGTTTTCTTTTCTAATATTTGAAGCTTGGTAATTTTGGGAAAATGGAAATCTGGTAAGAAATAGAAGTTCAAACAGTATTTTATATGAAATGATAGAGTAAATGAAAACAGATTAAGACAGTTTCAACGCTCAACATAAAGTTTATGGTGACCAATGGCACAGCAACTAAATTTTTGTAAAAAAAAAATCACTGAAATTTTTGAAATTAACTCATACTGCTAAAAAAAATTTGACCACCATAACTAGAGCCTGGATTTGTGTGTAATTGCATATTCTTTTTGGTAACACTCGACCATGGTGACCAGATATTTATCCGAATCATACCTCTGTGGTTTGAATTTTATTCTGCATAACTTTGCACGCAAGAATATTGCAAATTTGAAATATTTTTGAGTATTTAGAAAATAAAAATAATCTAGGCAGCTAAGAACATGAATGGAAACAGACAAGAGCTTAAAATTGGATGTCAGTTAACTTTCCAGGAGCAAAATTTAAATAAACCAACATAAAGAATTCTCTTGAAATAATCTGCATCTTATTCAAGGCCCCCATTTTCAAAATTACTAGGTGCAGTTCTTCTGCCTTCTATGAAAAATAATTTTTCTAAAGTAGTAAGGTTGAAGAAATAAAGACCATTTAAAACACAAAAATAGTGTTATTCCTCTCATATTTTCAATCTAGTAAACCTAAGAAAAATGCCGAAAGTGGTCTGATTTTTTCTTCAGTTTCCAATTCAAACTACTTCTAGAACAACAGACTGGATCTTTCCTTTCAACATAAAACAGAAGTTAGTTTACATCACCTCTGTTCACAATCAAAAAATTTTTATCATGGTGAATTTTAATTCAGATCATAACTTAATTAAGCTAATATTTTATTTTGTGTAATATTTTTAAATTACATGATTTGCTGTGTGACTGAAACATTTCCTTTCAAAATGAATATGTGTTAAAAAAGAATATTTAAATCATTAGTCAGGTGATTTCTCTGCGTATTTTAGTATTTTCAGTACAAATTATATGACATATTTGAAGGTTTTGTAGGGCTGTGTGTAGTGATTAGTGACTGTTAGTCGATAATTATTCGGAAAGTGTGAGATGCGGTCTGGTGTGATGTAGGTTTCATAAAAACATTTTCTTTATCTTGCCAACGAAAATTCATTTTTTTCCATATCCTACAATTTGTTAAATTTAAAGAATCCCAGGCCCTGAAGACGGTCTCAATAAAGATCGAAACGTTGGCACGATAAAAAAATGTTTTTCTGAAAACTATATCACACCAACAATTATCAACCAAAATATTCCAACAATTTAATTAATTGGTATACCGGAGAACATTTCCCGAATTTTCTAAAGTTCCTAATAACATTTTTCACATAAATCCATGCAGAACTAAAAATAAGCTTTATGTACTGACCAATATGTATGTGGCACGTTGAGCAACATCCACAAAGGGATGAATTCGGTACAAGTTCTCCTTTGCATGTCTTTTCAGTCGGGAACTGAGCGCAGTCGACGGTACTGCAGAAGTCTGGTTGACAGACGAAGGCGCATGTCGCTTCTAAACAGCAAACCAGCAGAATGACAACTGCTATCCTACAAGTATACATTTGTAAGTTGGATAAATGTACAGTAAATTTTTTTCCAGTGTTTTTAATTGACTTTCCTATTTTTAAATGTTAGTAAAAAAAAGTTACCTTGGTAATAGTGAGCTCATCTTAAACTGTAGACGATACATTTCAATAACAAAGTTGCAAGTATGTTGATTTGTCCAATACTGAGCTGTCGTATCACTTATATATTAAAAGAAAACTTTTTACCCCTCCTAACAATCAAGATAACTTCGTTAATTATTTCCATTAAAAATACGACGTAAAAGGTTTCTTATCTTTTCTTATCTAAAGGAAAACAGGATAAACAGAACATTTGCATTTTTCATATTACCATGTTTTGGTTAGCAATATTAAATCAATCACAATTCTTAAACAACCCAGTAGTACACAATTCATTTGTTATGCATTAAATGAATAATAATTACATTAATTGAAAATTATCCAGATGTGTAGGTTTTAAAATCTGTAATACTTGTTTCTTTTATAAAAAGAAGCCAAAATATTTATGTTTTAATTATTGCCCCTGGTGAGAACAATAACCATCCCACTCAATTGTCTTAAGTTATTTGGTAATTGTTATTTGAAATTAAATGATATCTAGATACGGAATGTTTTATGTCTAATGTAAATTTTTTAGTATAATTGCAATGCAAGATGAGGCTTGGATTCGTAGGCCAATACATCCAAAACAAAAAGATTGAATATTTCTACAGAATTGTGTATAATTTTTAATACTTTTTAAGTAAATTTCTCATGGCTTTATCAAAATTTCTCAATCCAAAATTGGACTTAACCTTCAAGAAAATCTTTGGCACTGAGAAAAACAAGAACATTCTTATCCATTTTATACATATATTATACATAATTTGGATTTTTTGTTTTTAAGTAGATATTGTAATGAAGATGTTAACATAGTGACCACAGGACAAGTTCGTTTTTTTTTTTTTTCACTCCTGCATGATTGGCAAAGCTGGTTTTAACAATGCTTCGTAACATCAGGGGAAAATTTGTGATTAAAAAACCAAACCAATCCAGGTTTTAAAAACTTCCTAAGCTTTTCAAGTGATGTTGTAATGTTGAAAACATTGGTAAAGCTTACGAACTTTTTCTAATTCAGATTAGACCTATCCAAACAAAGCAAGAATTATTATACATAATACTTTTCATTTATACTTGTACATTTTGATTCAATGTTTTCACTTAAAATGTTCCAAAATTGCAATGTTATTCATAGAAGTGTTGAATTCCTTCTCTTTTTATCAGCACACTCTAGATTAATTTAGTTCATATATAACGTGACCAAGTGCATACTTCTGTAATTTGTCATTTAATTAAATAAAACCTTTATATCCTGTTGTCCTTTTTTTAAAATAAATTTATTTATTTTATTATTATTTAATGTTCTTTTGTTTATACATTTTTTTAAAATATTAAAAATACAAGGTAATTTGGAGATGAGATCTTTGGACAGGTCCTAAATTCTCTTTCTCATTTTTCCTGCTTCCTTTACTTCAACACATCTAAGCTAGTCTTCCTCGTTTGTCTATAGACAACTTGGTCTATTTTTGTGTATACTGATGTGTACAGTCTAGTTCCACGTTGAAAGTCTTTTGTTTTCTAGGTCTCGATAGTTTTGATTTTGTTCATTCTTCTATAGGGTTTTCCCTCCAGCTTGGTATTATAAATATGCTTAATTTTTATTTTATTTATTTTTATTGTAGTATTTTCTATCTCCAAATGTGATATGTTTCAACAAAGAAATTAAGTACGTAGCTGTAACCCTTGACTTCAAGACTCAAGCAGAGAAGCCGTATAGACAATATACTACATAAGGCCAAGGCACTACTAGCATTGACAAGAGATTATGCAGTAAAACCTAGGGAATAAACACAAGACGTATTAATTATACAGCACAACTATCAGATCTCTAGTCACATGTGGAGAGGAGAGTGCAGTACCTTTCTTAAAGCAAAAAGTACTCTTTTCAGGATATGTTTATAATTTATAAGCGTTCCATAATAAATTTACAGGTGGAGGAAAGCACTTAAAATACTTATTCAGTACTCCTTCAAAAACAAAAAATAATTTTATTTATCGTGAGATGAGGTCTGATGTGATGTAGGTTAGAAAAACATTTTCTTCATTGTGCCATTTCAATCTTTGCTAAGATCATCTTCACAGCCTGGGATTTACAAACATTATTTAAATTATACAAATATGTAAAAGATATTAATATGAATGTATATAATGATGAATACAGAACTTTAAGATTTAATCAAAGTATTTGTACTCACACCAGACCACATCTCACATTCTTTAAATAACATTAATTAATGGTCACTAAATATTACACAAAATAAAATATAAAAAATTTGCAATAATAAATTAATAAATATGTAAATATTTTTTATAATTATTAAATTGTTTATTGAAGGGTTTTAGTTATTTTTTAGTATAATTTTTCATGTGATATTTTAACTAAAAGATCATATTTAAAGCCTGGTGGATTGGTTTTTACAAAAAAAGAAAAAAAAAGTAGTATGTTGAACCCAAGACACTTACAGTGAACACAACTTTTGTGGCCACCAACCAAATTGATGGTTTAAGGCTTAAGTGCGTTTTTATAGATATTTAATTTTTTATTATTGAACAACCAAAGCAAAAAAATTATCTGTAATTTTATTTTTACAATTTTAATTAGGTTATTTTCCAATTTTCAGCATTTGAGTACCATTTAATCATATCTAAAACAAATGTTTAATTTTCAAGAACAAATTTAATTTCAGAATTATTCTTCAAAGATCATTTTGTTGGTTTTACAAACTGCTGATAAAGTCAGCCAAAGTTCCACAAATTATTTATAATCAATTAAGCTCGTCATATATCACAAAACCACAATTTTAATTTTTGTAATCATATCAATAAGAAATCAAATAGAGGCCACTAGGTGACCAAAAGACTATTATCAATTGTTCAAATCACTATTTCTCGTTATGATGGCGATAAGTGGTCTTATCATGCTGACCTATGTTCTTTGACGAACCTTTGCTTTGTAATATATCAAGTAAAACCTATTTTGACACAAGCCTCGTACTTTAAGGGTCATATCGACGAGCCACCTTACAAACCCAGAAATGTGACATTTTTTAACGGCATAAAATAGTAATGATGTTAGAAAGAGGGGGATGAGGGGAAAAGACAATTTTTGACTTTTGATCTTATTTTATTTAGTGATTTATTGACAGAGGTATGAATTTGTGTAAATATGTTCTTATCTTAAAGTTGCTATCTATATAAAGGCAATTGGCGTTTACTATAATTTTTTATACTTTAATTATACATCATGTTGTCAACAAGTGAACAGCCTCAAAATTATTAGAATCAGTCCAGTCAATCTTTGAAAACCAAGTTTATTAAAAGTGAAATTTACAAAAATGTGTTTTATTACTGTTGTTTTTAGTTTCCACTTTTTTTATATATTTTTTTTTAAACCTTAACTGTTACGGATAAAATTTAAGAAATAAAAACTATGAAAAGACCCATTTTATGTTGTTTATCAATTAGCCCATTACAATCATTGACCATTCATTGTCAATAAAAATAAGTACCAAATTTAATTACAACTTACAAACTATTTCCCTGACAATAAAGGGAATAAAAATAAAAAAGAAAGGAAAAAACAAGACAATACATGGAATAATTTAAACGAACATTAAACATTCTAACTGAACAAAGTATAAATAATAATGACAATTATTTTCAAATTTATTTTAGTCGTACAAATACAGTTTTGCAACCTAACTATTCATTTAAAAAAAAAACATAAATTAGAAAAAAAATTCAAGGCTTGCCGAAATTCCACAGGGTGAGACAACCAATGGAGAATTGATTAAAACAAAGAGAAAAGTTGTAACACCCCTTCCTTGTTGCACTATTTTGTTAAAATTTATGTACATATTTAATTCCTTCTTCTGAGAGTTGGTCTGCATTTTATTCTATTCTGATACACTAATTCAATTAAAGACTTCTTTTTACTTACAGTAGTATAAAAAGGCTGAATATAACTTGTTTTTTATTTGGCAGTAAACAATTTAATTATAATTTAAATGTCAAATGGCGAAGTGGAGAAAATTGGTTACATCGCCCCAGCAAAATGCCAATTGTGAATTTCCCCCCATTTATTTGCGATAAAATGGCTCAACATTCGACGATTCAAATTACCTGCAAATTTATGTCGAACAGAAAACTGTTTTCGAGCAATTGGAATGTACTATGAGTTTATTCTCTTTTGTAAATAAAATATATTACGAGATAATCTCACTAAAATCTTTTGTAGTGAACATTCTGAATCCATTCACACACACAAGCTAGTCTAATATTCTTGCTTTTAGTAGCGAGCAAAGAGTGGCGCTCTCCTTCATTATTTTTTTTGTCAATTTTATTTTTATTTTTCAAAAACTACGATGTGCGGTAAAAAATAACTATTTTGCAGAACAACCTAAAGTCTAACCCACTCAACTACCGAAAAAGTTTTGGTTTTTATATATTTTCCTCTTTTTTTATATATATTTTTTTTTAATTTTTAAATTTTTTTTAAGTACTCTTGCATTTGAAATCTTTTTCTCTTTATATATAAATATAAAAACTGTGATCTTCGCTATGGTACACTGTACATTATACATTATCTGTTATTTTGCTTATACTTTTGAATGTAAAAACTGAAAATTTCAATGGTGGGAACTAAGATTTTATAGGCCCATTCATCTGGTCTAAAACCGAGGGAGATTGGGACTGGTGGCGCCCTAAAACATTGATATACATTCCGAACAAACAATAAATAATAGAAATAGCAATTAACCCAAGAAGCCCATTGTAAGATAATAAAACTCTGTGGGCTGAAAGGGCCAAAATGCTTTGCATATCAAAATTGGCCTTGAACCGTATGAGTTGAAAAGCAATTCCCTAAACTTTATTTATTAGTAGTAAAAAATCACAATTGGAGGTTGTGTTTAGAAAATTGAGAATTCAAACAACATCGATGATACCATCTGCCCCCACCGATCAAAATAAATAAAAGAGAGGTACAATAATATATATTTAAATATATATATACTAAATAAGAACGAGAACGAAAAGTACAATGAGACTATATCTGAGGTTGAGAGGGGAAACTGTAATACACTTAGAAAAATCTGTTATGAGGTCACTTATAATCTAACTTAGTTTTCTTGGCAGAAGGTTCATCCTCCGAGCGATCGTCCTGGTTGTTATTGACAGGCGAAAGCTCTTCAGGGAGGGATGTCGACGTGTTTTCATCAGTTGCTGCAACCGACCCTCCACTCTCAGTCGCTTTACCGTTTGCATCCAGAGAGCTCTCATCCGAAGCATCTAAGGCATCCTGTAAGTAAGTAAGTAGGTAAATACATGTTATCTCACACTATTATTTTCTAACAAGCAATCCAAAAATTTACTTATTCCACAGATTTAAATTGGTAAAGAACTTAACGCATTTGTCAGGGCTGTCGTTCTGTAACAATGAAACTCTAATAGGAACTCCCACTTTTCGAAGATTGTTGTAAGGTGCTGGGTATGTTTTGGAATCGAATCGATGTCTGGGGGGTATGTTTAGTTTTCACTTTGTCAACATTACTATGAAGTGTGTGGTGTTTAGTTACCGTTAATTAATGATTATTTGGAGATGGGGTTGGGTGTGACAGGTTCGTTCAGAAAAACGTTTTCAGTTCAAATTTTAAACTCAATCAAAGTATTTGTACTCACTCAAATAGTCTAGGCATTGTAGAAATTCATTTTTTTACATCCTACATGTATTTGTATAATTTAAACAATGTTTATAAACCCCAGGCTCTGAAGATGATCTCAATGAAGATCGAAATGTTGGCATGATGAGGAATTTTTTTTAACCTACGCCACAACACCATACTGCATCTCACAATCTCTAAATAATCATTTCTGTGAAGTCTGTTTTTGAATTTTATCTTCTAGAATTTTTTCTGTTGTCTTACTGTGAAGACCATTTTTCAATTTGACTTTTGGATTTTTTTATCTCTGTAAAGACTTTTTTCAATCTGATCTTTTGAAAATTTTACTGTTACTGTGAAGACCATTTTTCCATCTGAACTTTTCGAAATTTTTTTGTTACTATGAGGACAATTTTTCAATTTGATCTGGAAGTTTTTTTTTTGTTTTGTTACTGTGAAGACCATTTTTCAATTTGACTTTTGGATTTTTTTTGTCTCTGTAAAGACCTTTTTCAATCTGATCTTTTGAAAATTTTATTGTTACTGTGAAGACCATTTTTCAATCTAAACTTTTCAAATTTTTTTTGTTACTATGAGGACAATTTTTCAATTTGATCTGGAAGTTTGTTTTTGTTATTATGAAGACCATTTTTCAATTTGACCTTTTGTACATTTTTTTGTTCCTGTGAAGTCTTTTTTTTAGCTTAATCTTTTGGAATTCTTTTTACAATTTAATTTTTTTAAACAACCAAAATTTTTTCCTAATTCAGGAATTAAAAATCAGTGCCACATAACAAATGTGCTAAAAATAAGTCAAGGTTCTTTATTATTTATCTATAACAATAATACACACTAATTTTTCTTAAAAAAGAAATAAACAACTTACTGTACTAGCAGCATTGGACGATTCAGATTCAAGTTTGTCTTCGCCATTTGCATGACTAGTTGTACCATTCGGAATTGAGTCTAGCAGTTCGGGCTGAAGCTCGCTGGCTACATAATGGGTCCAGAGAGCGAGTTCGACCCTGTGTGGTGACCAACGCCCATTTGAGTCTGAAACAGTAAGGTTTATTTAATAACAATAATTACAACCCATAAAATATTAAACTTACTATCACTATTGAGCCTTTGAACTGTACTCTGAATGTGAGCGACGAAATTCAGATACTCTTTTGTCGTGTAGTCAATTCCTTCAATCTCGGGGATCGCCATCAGGCACTCGTCAGCCATAAAAGGGGCCATCTCAGGGGCAGCGGCAGCCAAGAGTGCTTGAATAAGGGAAAAACAAACAAAAAATTAAATTTGATTTTCATATTTACACATAATGTTTAAAATACTTGAAAGAAGGAAGTCAAATAAAATATTAAATTACTTCTAGCCAATTTCTGCAAAAACTGAAAGAATGAATTTTTGTTAATTAAAGACACTCTTAGAACTAGAAAAATTTGAATTAATTGACCTTTCAATTATATGATAATTGAAACTTCAAATGTCCAATGGAACAGAGAGTATTATAATTTCTAGTAAATATTTCTGGTAAATTTCCAAAATTCTAAAGGAAACATATAAAATCCACTGGCGTATGTGATCCACAAGACTTGAAACCTAATCAAATTACATTTTTATGAATTAGCCAATAATTTACAAGTGTAGACTAATGGCTTATTCCCTTTCATCAAAATCTGACTGTGAATTGGTTCAACTTTTACAGACCTGATGCCATTGTTGTTCCGACACCCTTGAGATTGCTCAGCGCTGTGATGGCTTGTTCCAAATTTGGCAATTTCCTGAAAGCCTTTTTCGTCTCGGCTACCACGGCCCTTGGGGTGTTGACTTTTACAAGGTAATTGAGTTGTGGGAAAAATTTTCCACGCTAAGGATAAAAAATAAATAAAATAAGAAGTATATTTTTTCATAATACATGTCATTCGAGTTTTTCTGCAAATACTTACTGTTTGTTTCCATTTCATTAACTGTACCAATTCTTCGTGTATTAAATGTGCGTCCTTTCCTCTAGCTTTGATTTTTTTTGGCAGTTCGTTTTGGTACCTAGAATTAATTAAAAATCATGACTTTCTGCTATAAAAATAACCAAGTTAAAAATGATAATTTAAAAAAAGCCTGTGACCATTTACAAAAACGACCAGAAGAAAAAACAGAGACAATTGAAACTCCCAAAGAAAGAAGTAATGTTATTTGTCTTAAAGCAACACCCACTGAACTTGATTTTAATCACTCGATTCCGATATAATTTAACCTGAGAATTTTTTTTTTTTTTGTGCCTGTGTAGTCTACAGGGTGATGAACCTGTAATTTGGTCTGCCTAGGGTTGGTCTGTTACAAAATACATTTCTGAAGAAATTCTGGCAATTCTCTTTTATTTTATAAAAATATTTCTTTACTCCATTACATTTAGTGGTCTATTGACCAAATTACTTCTTTCAATTAATTAGTCTTTTTACATTAAGGTTTTGGTCGAAAAGTCAGTGTCATGAGCAGGATAGTCTTAACCATGGAATTGCTTTTGCTGGCATTATTCGTCGTTTTTATTAAAAGTTAGACTTATTTGTTACCTGTGCTTTTACTTAGGTATGTAAAACTTGGCTGAGGTGGAAATGCTTATAGGCTATGACAAAAACTGTAAGGATAGGCTGAACAAGAATGATCAGAAAGAACTGAGCCTCCAGGTTCATCACTCTGCAGACCTCAAGAAGAAATTTCACAATAATCTAATATTTATTAGTGGATTAAATTTGACAAAAAGCAGTAACATGTCTGACAGACCAAAACAGCAAGAATAGACGTTATTGGAAACGACCAAACTACACATATTAATTTAGCTAAGTAAATATTATTGATTCATTACTATGATAACAAAAAGGGTGATGGAGGTGTAGTAAGGAGCATTGACTACGGTTCTGAGGATTTTCTGAGGTTTTAGTATTGTCTTGTAGATTGTTAGTTTGTTTTTTGTTGAAACATTTAATTTACATACCAGTAGTTTGCAGACTAGTCTGAAATGTTTGCTTAATTATTACTGCTAAATTCATGTTGTTTTTGTGGTTGGTGATGGTTCCAGGTTAGTCTTGAGACTAGATAAAACTCAATGTAGTGGATGTAATCTGTTCTTTTGAGAGAAATATTGAGGAATATCGTATGAGAGGTTTGCTTTCATTAATCTTTATAAACAAGTGTTTGCCCCATGTCTAGAGCACCTCCAAAGAAATTGTGGAATCAGGATGAGAGGACAGCACAGCTGTGTCGTCAGCAAAGGTGCATGAATGGTAGAGGGTGAAGTTGAAATATCTGTGGTGTAGAGGAAGTAAAGGCCTAAATACACTGTGCTGAGGTACTCCTGCTCCCAGAGGACAATGGAGTAGGCTGATCCTTCACAGACTCTGAAGAATGATTCAGTTAGGTACAAATAAAGGATTAGGTAGGATGCGATTTAGTCTGTATAGGAGGCCTTCATGCCACAGGCGGTCAAACGCCTGTAAGAAAGGCCCCCACAACACAATATTCTTTGTGCCCAAGCAATGATATGCTGTCCACAATGTGAAACCCTTGCTGGGTAGTGGAGTATTGAGGTGGGAAGCCAAACTGATGGTCTGGAGCACGGTTGGCAGTTGAGTATAGGGATTTATCGTTTGAGAATCTTCTTCTTGGGCTTAGTGGGGCTATTTGTCAAAAACTTCAGACAAGAGTTAGGGGTTAAATTTGATTAACCATCAAGATTAGACCATGACTGTGATTATACAATTTACATCAAGTACCGCATTATTACAAGCACTCTCATGACTACAAGTTCCTTAAAAAAAGTAATTTATGTTGAACTTATGGGATTTGTAACAGATTATCCACTGATTTTATGTGAATTAAACTTTTTTTAGAAAGACAGATTGGTGCATCAAATGATTTTATTAAATATTTTTCATCAAATGATGTACTTTTCTTATATTAAAAAAGTGTAGAGGGGGACTAGACAAAAATGTAGTTAACTCAAACCAGGGTGCCATTTCATAAAAAAATAAGGGAAAAAATTAAATCAAATCTGCAATTTTTTGGGTAATTCAAACGAACTTGTCATTCTGTAAAATGTGGTTTTGAGTTGTACTTCTTCAAATTTAAAGCGGATCATTGGAATTGTGCCTCAAGTGTTTTATTTTTTGGCAGTGAAAGAACTTTCTCACATAATAAAGCTTTTTTACAATTTGTTTAATGCCAGGTATACTTGAGGCAAATAGTTTCACAACTGGCTCAATCCAGTAAAACAATTTTTTTAGTTATCTCAAGTTTTTAATGAATTAGACAAAACCATTTTGATCAAAAGTGACTCAATCCAATATAAAAATGTCTACAAACCCATTGGTTTAGATCAATACGGGTTTAATCCAACGTTCACCGTCTAGGCAGTTTTTTTTTTTTTTTTTTTTTTTCAAGCACTGAAGCAATCAGAATATTGTTTTGTTTTTATTGAAACTAGGTTTGCAAAATAGGATAACTTGGACCAATAAATTCAGAGTAATTTCATCTTATTCCGACAAAATGATTTGTTAGCTACACATTGTTTCAAAACCGGGTCAATCCAAAATTCAAATTGTCGCAACCTGGATGTAATACAATATTGGAAACTATGCCTTAAATGTTTGGCGACCATTCTTACCAATAAAAATTAATGGCTTATTAAACCATGGCTCTAAAACGTGTTTTGTGCCTCCTGTTAAAAAATTTTGAAAACGGATTAAGCCGGTTTTGAAACCATTCGCCTTCCTTGGTCATCTAAGGCTGACGGTTGAATATGCCATTTGAAATTAGTATTGTTTTTATAAAATGTATCATTTATGTTGTTTTATTTTCCTATTTGAACTTCTTCAGCACCAGACAATTTTAACAAATACTGTCCAATATATAATTTGATTATTTGCAAATTCACTGGAAAACATTTACAGTATTGTAATGGGGGGTTAAAAAAGACAACTTTTACAGAAAGAGTGTACCAAAAAATTAAACCGACCAACCCTTAGAAAAATTAGGCCGTGCATTGTTCTTAACAAAAGAATATAAATTTAAATATTATTATGAATTGATTAGACGGAGGTTTTATTTATTTTTAAAACAAAAACACTTTTCAGTCGTAAAACTTGGAAATAACGGTTTTTCGTCTCGAGTACTTTCTAGGGAAGCACGGGTCGCCCGGAGTGAAATCGGACGAGTTTCATTTACGATCGGCGATGCGGATCCTCGCCAAAAGTGTAAACAACTTCACAAAAATTCCGATTCGAAACCGGGTAGGAAAATGTGAAACACAAAAAATACAATGTGAAACAACGGGCTATTGTGGAAAAAAACTAATTGGGACTTTCCATTATTCACGGCGCTTCCTCTTCCCTTCAATTAAGCCAGAACACGATTAAAAGGTGCTGAGTCCGTTTAAATACGGTAAATACGAAAAAAAGGCCTGCGTATAAAAGGGAAAAGTGGGATAAAAACTAGAAAAGGAGTAAAGTGAGAGAAAAAAAAAAAAAAATTAAAAAAATACGGGGGATTTTGTCAATTGTCATGCATCAATAAGTCGAGGAAGCGGAGCGAGCGGAGAGCGCACCCTCGCTTAAGCCTTTATTTACAATTTAATTTCTCACGATTCCCGGTCAGGCAGCGGACCCCTGAATGGGAAATTAACAGAATAAAACTCTGATTTGAACTGTAATTCTGTTGTGAAACCCGAGGTTTAAGCTCACGACTCCATTTTGGTTCGGAGCGACGGGAAAGCAGAAAGTAGTACAAATACACTAGTTAGAAAAATAAAGCCGGAAAACGATTTTCGCCCGTTGGGAAGTCGTCCGACCTTGTCTCCCCGAGGGCCGGGAAACTGGGAAAAGCGGCTGACGGCGGAAAACGAGGAAAAGGGAAGCGGTGACTCGTAGGTCGGAGTTGGGTTATGACGCCGAGTGGAATCGGTTGGTGGCCCAGGGGATCGGCGTCTCGAACCGCCTCCCGGCGTGCCGAGTCGGGGGCCGAGAGCCGATCCGCGCCGCCTCCCAGAGGCCGAACACCGCCCCGGGCGTCCCGCACGGAGGGAGCAAGGTTCAATGACACAACCCGATGGAGCTACGGCCCCGATGCACATACGTGAAAGAGTTAAAAAGACTCACCAGTTGTCCAGTTTGATCAGCTCCTCCGGCTTCTTGTTCTTCCGCTCCGCTTTCAACCTGAGCGCCTGCGGGTAGAGGCTGAGGACGTGTTCGAATTGTTTGGCCGAACCCGCGGCGAAGAAAGTTGCCGTGTCTTTTATGGAGGAAGCCATTGTGATAACTAGACTTGTATCGAGGTCCGCTAGAGCGCTGCCACCACTTCGGAAAACTTGAAGTTCGACTGGGAAAAGTGTTTTTCCGATCGGAAACGCGAGCCGAGCGGCCTTTTAACGTTGTTGGAGATCGATTGTCGTTGTCCTAGGTGAGGGCGATAAAACTGTGTCCGGCGGTAACCTCCCTGGGCCGAGCGACGGCAGCTGCGTTTCATGAATAGCCGAAACGGGCGTGGAGGGGGGTCGAAATGACCTCTCGCCACTCGGCAGTCGGCAGTCCCCGACGGCCGTTCCCCCCACCACGCCGGCAGCTCAAGCCTCAAGGCACCGTTCGCTTTTCCCGTCCAGCCCACGGCATTTTTACTCCCACTGTCCCACAAAAACCCTGTACGGCCCTTTCCAGTTCCAACTTCCAGCACTAGTTCCATTTCAAAGCCCCTTGGCCCTTTTGTTCTGTTTTTCCAGTGGCTCCTCGTCTTGCCTCATTTCATACCGCACCCCGTTCTTCCTCCCCGGCATCGGATCGATACCACCGACAAATATAATTATTTAATAAAGATAATACTGAATTATTCATTTCTGGACGAGGAAGCCGGTGTAAAGCATTCTCCCTTTTCTCTCTCTATTTTTTTACCTATAAATTCCCTTCCTGCACCTCTGTTGAATTGCACGTTTAGGGGCCCTTCCATTATCTGGCATCTGCAGCTGGAGCACAACCCCTCGACCCATCCGTTTTACTTTTATTCCACTTCGCATTACAAATTCATCTCATAGGTGAATTTATTTAATAAATTTATCCAACTTACACGGAAACACAAAATAATAACACTTTTAGTGTACATTCTTTATGATTCATACCACCAGGTCTTGAGGCATGCCAGTTCCGGCTTCACTCCATCTTCAGACAGACTTGTCCGTTCAACCAAGAAACATTCCACGGAATATGGAATAGATCTAGAACTTCAGAATTAATAATTATATGTTATAATTTGTTAATAAATTTCTTACTGGCAATTTATCGTGTTAAATAGCAAGATAACGGTTTTTTGAACAAAGGTACCACGCAGGTACATGAAGATATTTCTTTAACCTGATTCACGTTTAGGACAAATCAACTTATTTTTCAATAAGTTCTACACGTTTTAAATATTCACTCGGTAGATTATATTCGGTACATCGTTAGAATTTCGTTGATATTTCATAAGACAGTTAGGGCTTCACATCTTCAGACAGGCTTGTCCGTTCAAACAATTAAACCAAGAAAGAGCCCACGAAAGATGGAGTAGAACTCCATAAGCAATAATCATTCAGTGAAATTAATCATACACCTGGTTTTTGGGAATTATTTTTCTTTAATATTATCGTGTACCCAAAACCTTTGGATCATAAACTAGACGATACAATATTACGTTTCATATAATAAAACGAGTTAAGGCTTCACGACATCTTCAGGCAGGCTTGTCCGTTCAAGCAATTTAACCAAGAAAGATCCACAGAAGATGGAGTACAACTCCGTAAGCATAATCATTCAGTGAAATTAATCATACACCTGGTTATTGGGCATTTTTTCTTTAATATTATTTTGTACCCAAAACTTTCTTTAGGTCATAAATTAGACGATTCAATAATATATTTCATGTAATAAAACGAGTTAAGGCTTCATACCATCTTCAGGCAGGTGAAAGATGGAGTACACACCAGAAATAATAAACCTACATTACAATTTATCCACCGTGCATACATTTTATTGGAAATGCTATTTTTTTAAATTGTTTTTTTACTGGTAGTTTGTAGTATTAAATAGCAAGATGTTAACGGTTTTTGAACAAATGTCCCACGCAGGAACACAAAGGTGTTCATTAACCTGATATACATTTTCATGTTTAGGATGATCCAATTTATTTTTAATAACCCTCCAGGAAAAATTTTATTTACTCGATATGATTCATATCGTTCGTGTCCGTTGGTATTTAGAAAACGAGTTCCCATTCTACAGTCCGACAGGTTTGCCTTAAAACGGGTGAACCAAGAACTCATTCATGGAAGTCGTCCTAGATCTGGAACTCAACCGGCTAAAATCTGACTTTTCAAACAAAGAACATCACTCATTATATTAAACTAAAATATTAAAACCTAATATTAAAAATAAAGTAAGCTATAATTTTATGCAGTGTGATGTACAAGTACAGTCAGAATGGTGCTTTAGATTACTTAAGTTTATTTTAAATTTTATTGTTTACAAAATGTAACATTCAATGGGGTAAAATAAGATTACTTAAGTTTTTATAAGACTTTGCCACGTTGACTGAAGAAGGCTTCATTTCATTTTAATCTCAGGTTTGAATTACCTAATATTTTTGTTTTAACTTCTACCTTACTTTAATAAAAATATTTAAAAAAAATAATGGTGATTCTGAATATGAATCACACCGATGCAGAAGTTCGTTCTTCTTAAGTCAAACGAGTTCCGGTTCTACGATGTCTTCTGTTGAATTCTTCTTGATTGAATGAAGCCTGCTCGCTGAAGATGTCGTAGAGGCGGGAACTGGCTTGAAATAAAGATTAATGGTTTCTGGCAGAAAGGTCAAAAACCCTTTTTTATTCATGAAAAATTATTCTTTTGGTTCACCAACTAATTATTCTATTATTCTCGCGGTTTTACTGTTTTTTAATTTGTCTTTCGCTAAACGGGTTTGCAAAAATGCGTTCTTTTTAAATCCGCGTTGTTTTTATAGGAATAGTGGATTTATGTGTTTTACTCAATATTCTGGTCTCCATTTTTGCGTAAAACATGATCTTTCTCGACCGCCAACGCACATCCTTTTATGATTCATGCCGCCGTGCTAGTTGCTCACTTGTGGAACGAATTCCCTGTCTGCAGGTTCGCCTTAAGACAATTCAACTAAGAAAAGCACAATATTCTTTATATTAAACTTTATTTAGATATTAAAAAATAAATAATGAAACATAGGAAATATAAACTCTATAAATAATGAATAGATAAATTGTCCATTATTCTTTCTTCTTTGTTTTTCAACTTTATTTTAATTTTCATAATAATCAATTAAAAAATTAATTTGAAATGTTAATTATATGTGGTAAAAACAATGGCTTTTTGTCCAATTATGCCACGTTGGTACTTTCGTCAAGTTCAATGGTCTTTAGCCCAAGGAGTTCCGGCTCTACGCCGAAGATGGCGATGAAGATAAAACTCGCCAGTGCTGTTACAACTTTAGTTTATTTAATTTTATAATATTTAAATTTATTTTAAAATAGTGTTTATTAAAAGACGAAAAACTTACAACAAATCAAGTCTGATTCTTATAAATACGACTTAATTTAAAATTAAGTTTAAGAAATAAACTCATAGTAGGAAAAGCGTTGTTTCAAGTTTTACCGGACATACTTCGACCCATAAATTACGCCAAAACTAAGTAGGTATTAATTTGTTAGTATTTAGACAAACCTGTGTTTGTTCCAGCAATAATTCATCAATAAAATTACAAGTATAATTTTGTGCAAAATCCAATTACCTAAATTGTTCCTAATTGATATCCAAGTAGTGGTTATAACAAGGAACAGGACAATCGGTTCGTTTTACAGATAGCATCTATTGGAGCCAGCTCTAATATATATGCTCTAATATATAATAGATAATTTTCAAAGTTAGTCTTGTGACTTAAAAATTGTGTCTCACGCTTGGCACATGAAGCAAAGTGTTTTCCACTTCTTCTGTTCATTTCTGTCATTTTGACTTATGTTGCACGGTCCCGGTCATCAGGCACAAACCAAACCGACACTCATTTGTGACTTGAACAGCCCACCATTGACCAAGTGTCCAAGCGACATGTTCATTTGTAAATGATGCCTTACTACTCGATGCCTATCCAGCGGGAAGTCTAGAGACGGCTATTCTCGCCTTTTGATGATTGTTTTAGAGCTGATCGTTATATTACGAACCGTTTGTAGTTGACTTCAAGGAAGCTGTTAAATGAGGGTTCCATAGTGCGGTAAGAACAATAAAACGATCACGTCTAGCCGTCGTACATCGCGGTCGACCACCTTCTTTTCGGTCGAGACTTCCGGTGCCCCTAAACCGCTGTAGATCATCGAGGATGGAAGAACGCCGCACACCCAGGACTTGGTCTAGGTCCTTCGTTGGCCGCATCTGCCCGGGCGAGATCTCAACTTAATACCACGCTTTTAAGGAAAAAATATATATTAATGTAATTTAATTAAGCAGGTAAACAAGTTATTAATATTGTGTTTAAGTTTTAAGTCAACTATTAATCTTTATACCTAGTTATTATGGAAAATAAATAAAGTGTCCGGTTTTTTTTGGCCTTGAAGAAAACAATTAATAAAAAAACAAATAAAAAAAATAAAAAAAAAGGGCCGCCCGGGCCCCAAAAGGTTAAAAGGTGAAAACGAACCCAACAACGGAAAGGAAAAAGCCCGGGTTCGAATCCAGCGGCCATGCATTCGAACCCGATATCCTTACAAATGGGCTTTTTTTCAAAAACACCGGCACCCCGAGGATTGATATAACCTCTGCTGTTGCGAACCCTCGTAAAAAAAAATAATAATAATAATTACAAAGAAATCCTTAATTCTTACTTAATTCGTAAGGAATTTGTTTTTATATCATGGTATATTTGTAGTCTAAACATCATAAATATAGTAAAGAATGTCCGTCCTTGTATTTAATGTAAAACAAGGGCTTGCATTCTTCCAGAGCGAACATCAAATCTGTTAAAATTGTTCCTAATTGAAATCCGACAAGTGGTCATGTCAAGCAGGACGGTTCGTCCTTTTTATATATGGTAGCTATGTAGCCAAATTTATCTATTTATTACCTTGCTTCATTATTAAATATTTTTACAGTCTAGCAACGCTGATTTTTCACTCTCTTTTAGTTTGGATTTTCCACTTTAATTTTTACATTGTTTGCTGGAAGAACAACAATGGTTGTCAACTCCCTCACGACAAGTCATTTGCAAATTTAACCAATTACATGTTGTAAACAATGTTACAGATTGTAATAATTATATTAAATTTAAAAAAAGATTACAACGAATGAAATGTATAAGTGAAAAATAGTAACACACTTTTTAAAGCATATTTAACTTGAAAATATGCAAAGTAACATTGTTTGCTAAGCAACAACGATTGTAATTCACACGTTCCAGTTCGTTAATCAGCAAAAAAACAATAATTTTGATTTAATTTTTTAAAATATTTACTTTTGTAATAATTGTCTTT